TTCTTCCAAGACATCTATTGAAAAAAAATGTTTCCGAACTGTAAGCAAAAGGTGGACAAACGGAGGATGAAATGAAAGTGCCAACTTTTCAGGTGACAATTCTGCAAAACAATATACTTGGTTTTGCAGAAATTCACCAAACTCTGCTGTGGAGAACCTAACCTGCTTGTGGAAAACCTGAAACTCCAGAAGATTACACAGTTTCAACTATAAGAAATTAAAGCAGTTTTTAAAATGAAGTTTTAACTTTCAGCAAGTGAGAACAGGGTATAAATAGACTACTCTTTACAGAGAAAAGAAAGAAAGGGAATGAAAGGCAGGCATGATGAGGAAACAGCATGGAGTTAGAGAAGGAAGCAGAACACTTTGTTGAGCATTTGTTCCATAAACCCAAAGTACAGAAGTTACAAAACCTGGACTCTGCTGTAGGCTGAATTGACTGGGAAGTATTGCACTAGTGTAAAGTAGCAACAAATATACTAACTGAGCTGCCCTCCTTTTGGATCAATATAGTGCACAACCTGCTGATCAAAGTTTTTTTGAAGAATGCGTTTCTCCCTCCCTGTTAGACTCTAGTACTACTAACGTTTCACCAGGAGGAGAAAAAAACTACAAGTTCAAACTTCTGGGAGGTGAAAAGGATGGAGAAAGATTGAACCTTATGAGATTTAGAGCTAATTTTAAGAACCAGGCAGCACACGAGAGCTGTTCCTGAGAGTGCATAGACAGGGCATGCATAGACAGAAACATATTTTCACAACACCTCAGTGTACAGCCATGGGTACTGCAGACAAGGATAAGAACATATACACACATAGCTTGGAGTAGCTATGCTCTGGAGTTGTTTGAAAGCACTCACAATGAGCAAACACTATTTTGGAGATAAATTCAGGACAGCTTAGCCCTGGTCTCCACAGGGCGGGGGAGGGGGTGGAATCGATCTCAGTATGCAACTTCAGCTACGTGAATAACATAGCTGAAGTTAACAAATAAGTACTCCTTTTCTTTTTGTGAATACAAACTAACACGGCTGCTACTCTGATAGCTGAAGTTGACGTACTTAGATCTACTTACCGTGGTGTCTTCACCGCGGTGAGTCGACTGCTGCCACTCCCCTGTCAACTCTGCCTGTGCCTCTCATGGCAGTGGAGTACAAGAGTCGATGGGAGAGCGCTCGGGGATCCATTTATCACATCTAGACTAGACACGATAAATTGACCCTGCTGGATTGATCACTGCCCGCCTATCCGGCGGGTAGTGTACACATACCCTTAGATACTAAGGCTTTCCATCCCCAAGAGGTAGAAAATTTCAAACACAAAGGGACCTGGGAGCAGGTGACCAAAGCTTCTAGCACACTGTGGTTCAGCAGTGTTTAGGAACTGCCACACCTGGAAGATGATGAAAGACTGAGTGAGTGGAAGATTTTCCACCCTGCTCCAAAATAGATCTACACATGCTCTGCAATGTAGCCTCTATAATTGTTACCCAGCAACTACAGAGGTTAATTTATACCAGACTTTGTATGTTCATAGTTCCCTAATTTAGCACAAATTTGAAATAATAGTGTTCTTCCATGGATTAAGGAGTATAGAGCGTCACCCTGCCTTGAAGTAGGAAGGCCTGGTTGTGATCTGTTGTGACTGACTGATGACAATTGCTCTACAAGGTTATACAGAGGCTATAGAGGCATTTGAATGTGCTACTGATAGTGAAACCATATGGCTTTTCAATCCATTGATCCAAGGGCTTGCAGTTTCCATTTTGAGGTAGGATAAACAACAAAATGATAACAACTGAGCAAATAAAATTCAACTGTGTCCCATTTTAAGAAAGCTATTTTAAAAAATGTAATTCCTGAACAGTCCCATCTATTTTTAAAAAATCAGCTTAAGCTTTTGTCACTTATCAACAGCATTCCAAATCACAGCATACCGTCTACTACACATTATAAAATATGATTTGGAATATCATTGGAGCTTTAAGGAATACAGAGGGGATGCAGACAGCATATTCGTTGATCCAGTCGGAACAAGATGAGAGAAATTGTAAGTTAATTGTCTACAACCTACTAAGCATTTTTAACATGATAGTATAATGAATAGTCTCAAGGAGTCTGGTCTGAAGAGTAATCATTTTTTATTCTCAACTCCCTAATTTTTAAAAGGTCAGTCAGCCCACTGTGGTTTTTACACTGACATTCATATTACACGTTGCTTTCCTACATTAAGAGCAACTGTTTAACAAAATATAGTGATTGAGAGTGAGCTCTCTAGTAGTGACTTTAATGGGTTGGGGAGTTAATTTTCCATGACCCCAAATTATCTTTTTCCTGGATCTAAGGTCTCTGTTGTCTAGAACTACTTTTATACAGTTACTTTAATACTAACGGGGTTATTTTCTGGTTGTTCCTATAGACAATTTAGCCTAAAATTCCTCAGAAGTGTTAATTCCCTTTGGGTGCTTCAACTTTGGTCATGCTACTTGAGACACCTATAAGAGCCTGATATTTTTGTTCTTAGAACAGTGCTAGCAAAACTGTGCTATAGATTTAACCACACCATATGTACTTACAGACTGAAAATACTTTGCCATATGAGTTAAGAAAACTATGAAAAAACCCAGCTAGCAACCGTCATGTTTAGCAATGTAGTGGTGCTGGAACAATTTGTATAGTCGGGGTGCTGAGAGCCATTGAACCAAACTGTAAACCCTTGATATGATGAAACCCGCTTTAAGCCAGGGGATGCAGCAGCACCCCCAGCAGCTCTAGTTCCAGCACCTGTGCAGCTATGTATACATTTAGCAAATGTTTAGCAAGGCATATGCTGTACCTAGAATGCCGCTGCTCACACAGTGTACAGTGGGCTTAATGGTTCAGTAGCTTCTCAGCCATTATTTATTATATATAAATATAATAAAATAATATTCAGTTATGCACCAAGTTGGGTTCCGATTTTCTCTCATGTACTGAGGTTCATTTCTAATTGTTTTTACAAAAATGTTTATTTTGTACAAAATATATTCTGTAAAATAGCTATATATTTGTAGCCCATTCATTATGATTCATTATGGCCCCAATTAAGCAAGGTAAATAACACTTCCTTATTTACTTTCTCCGCACCAGTCATGATTTTATAGATCTCTAACATATCGCCCCTTAGTCATCTCTATTCCAAGCTGAAAGTCACAGTCTTATTAATCTCGCCATATAGAAGCTGTTCCATACCCCTAATCATTTTTGTTGCCCTTTTCGGTACCTTTTCCAATGTATCTTTTTTGAGATGGGGTGACCAGATCTGCACACAGTATTCAAGTATTTATAAAGAGGCAATATGATATATTCTGTCCTATTATCTATCCCTTTCTTAATGTTTCCCAACTTTATGTTCGCATTTTTTGACTGCCACTGCAAATTGACTGGGACCTAAGAGCTAGCCCCTGGCTAGCCCATCCTATTGTAAGCAGTGGTGTGGAGGGACACCACCCCAGCAAGAAACCAAGAGTCACAATGCCTCCCAGAGCTCCCTGCTTGTGCTTGGATACATGAGGGTATAATTTGATATACCCCTTTAAAAGGTACACCATAATCTTCACATAGTTAGCCAGCTCTGCTGGTGAACCCACAGTGTCGGAAGAGGCAGAGCACAGAGGATGCTGTTCTGTCAGGCCCTTTCACAAAATGCAGAAGGGAAGAAACTCCTCACTTCCATGCCCCAGCATGGTCGCATAACTGCTGACTTGCATTATGCATTCTTAGCAGGCATGTGGTCCAGCACTGTCAGAAATAAAGACATGAAATTAAAGCACTAAATTAGTAAAATATTTAGTAGCAATTACTAATTTAGTATCAAACCCCAATTTGTTGTTGTTGTTAATGTATTAATAAAACTTGCCAAATGTGTGCAAGCAGTTGTATGTTAGGTACAGGAAAATGTTCACTTTGATCCTAGATTATGGTTCTGCCCACTATAAAAACACAAAGTTCAGATCCAGATCTGGGGTTTATTGACTTCAAATGGAAGTTGACTGCACGCAACTGACAAGATAGGCTGGTGGGTTTGTTATCCAGGGGCCTGATTTTCTTCCCACAATAGAAAATTAATTCCTATTGAATCATATCAATGTGTTTCATTCTTATCTTGCTGGGGACATAGGGGCAATTATTAGTTTTTCATATCTTCATGTGAATTTATAATACAGTGACATGCTTAAATCCAGTTTTCCTTAATCCACATTAGTGCAATAATTTTACTGATGCTCTTAATTAGTTTGATTGACCCCAGATAGAAATAATTTAAGGAAACTTTCTCCCTGACACTGAGTAAAAAATTCAGTTGAAAATGACTAGGATCTCCAGGTTCACTTTCTAGGCCCAATCCTGCAAGCCCTTTGTGCACAGGACTTTCATTGAAATGAATGGGCTTTCCAGGCAGAGTGCTTTCAATAGAAGTTCCGCTGCTAACACCCATACTTAATAACCTCGCTGTGAATACAGGCTTAGGTCATCCACTTGGGTACAGAGAAAGAATAAACTATCTGTACCATTATTTATCTATACTTGGTATAGGTCATGATCACTAATTAACATTCAGGCCAGTCATTATTATTTCCCCCTCCTTCTTCGTGAGCACTTGCTGCTCCAGGATCCATTACAACTGTAGGAGAGTTATTCTTTCTCCTCAACTTCCAGGGATGGAAGTGCCTCTCTCTCTCACTCTTTCTTTTATTTTTTAATTCAGTTTCTTCAAGTTCTGTCGTTGAGGGCAGCTGTTCAGAGTGCTGCTCTTTTCCCCAACTTCCCAGTCTCTTGTATTCACTAGGAGAAGCAGGAAGCTCTTCTTAGCTCTCCTCTCTTGGTCTCCAGGCAGGAGCTTTTTCCAGTATGTTTTTCTCCCATTTCCCAATACCCTTAATAGAAATTTTAGGTCAGGGGACTTCAAGTAACTAGTACTGAAGAGAAAACAAAATACTGTAGCAGGACACTGTGGATGAGCTAAATGGCTAAGTATTTTTCCTTCAGTGTTGATTCCACACCGGATATTAGTCATACTGATCAGCTGATATTTACTGTGCGCTATGTGCTGAATAACTGCACACCTGTAGAACGCTTCTTGAATTTTGTTCCAGTTACATTGCATACAGCTCTTCATCTGTTTAATGTTATCAATGAAATCCTAAGTAATGAACTAAATATCAATCTAAAGGACTGCAGAGGTCAAACATATGGCAATGCTAGTAACATGTCTGGCATTTATTCTGGTGTGTAAGCTCGGGTAATTGCAGTCAATGAGAAAGCAGCGTACATCCCATGCATGACCCACTCACTAAATCTATGTGGTGTTGCTATTGCAGAGTCATGCACTGATGCAATTACATTTTTTGGATTTGTCCAAAAACTGTATGTTTTTTTCTCAGGTTCAACTTATCGCTGGGGCCTGTTGCAAGATTCTCTGAAAGAGGAGACATCTGAGACCAGTAAGAGAGAACTTCTCCCAAAGCACCTCAGTGATACAAGGTGGTCAGCTCGAGTGGATGCACTTGACAGTTTATCATGCAACTACAAAAGCTATAAATCCGTGCTTCAGGCTTTTGGTCCGGACACTGTGCAGAACAGTGAAAAACGAGCAGAGGCAAACTCATTAGTTGAAACCATGGATCAGCTGGAGACTGCATTAATGACAACATTTTGGAGTAGTATTCTTACAAGAGTAAACAAAACAAGTCATCTTCTGCAGTCTGAAACAATGGACTTAGGCACAGCTGTGGTGCTGCTGAAGTCACTATCTGAGTTTGTGGAAGCACAACGAAATAGTTTTGAGGAATACCATGAATCTGCAATGTCTTTGAGTTCTACACTAACTTTCAGGTAAAGCAACAGCATCATCCAAAGCGTATGGCTGATGATAGTGAAGAACCTGCTGTTGTGCTGACAGGGGAAAAGACATTCAAACTTGAATCATTCTACACCATAATTGATTCACTTGTCAGCCATCTCAACAGAAGAATGCATGCACATTCAGAAATAAACAAACAACATTTCTGTTTCTTAACAGGTGACCTTGACAGTACTGCTGTTAAAGAGCCTCTCAGAAGATTAATTGAATTCTACTCAGGTAACCTCAATGAAGAGATCTTTGAAGAATGGGTACAGTGGTGCTCACTTGTAAAGCAGCTTGCCTCCAAGCCATTATCACAAGCTCTGTCTACAACACTGCAAATGCTGACCATAATGAACATGCAAAATTTTGCAAAGAGCCTTTCCAAATGTCTTTGTTGCAGTACACATTTACACTACCAGTCTCAAACTGCAGTGGTGAAAGGTCTTTTCACATTTAAAAAGGACAAAAAGTGCTTTACGTGCTACAATGGTTCAAGAAAGACTTAACGGTCTTACTCTGTTATCCATTGAATCTGAGATGGTAAACTCTACAGACTTCTCTAGTTTAATTGAATCGTTTGCTGCAGCAAAGGCACATCAAAAAACTGAAGAAAACTTTCATACATTTTATTTACAGCATCATTCTTCATACTAGTCTTGCTTCAGATGAGTAATTTGTATATTACATAGCAAGTATTAATGTGAGTAACTTAACTCAACCAAACCACTTTGTGTAGCTATCGTTAATAAAACCTGTGCAGCTATGTGCTGTGTCAAAGACAATTTCTGTGTTGATCTCCTGGCTTTTACAATCATTCCCCAGGGGGACCCCCAAATATCTTTGGCGCTGGGCCCACAAAAAGTTAATCTGGCCCTGCACAGAGGAACCTTGGTTTTCTGTGTTTGTAGGCCAAGGTGCTCAGAGGTAGAAAGAGAATAGGATAGTGGGAATGCCAGCATTTTTCTGATATATATCTGAGTGATTATTTAGAATGAGACGCTCTGAGGAGGAGAAAGAGGGGAAGTCCCTAAGCTTGTGGGAGGAATGCTCATGCAGCAAAAAGCTTCCATGCCTGGAGACAATTGACACATGTATCAGCTCCAGAGCATGTAGTATGACCAAATAACAAGGCAGAAAGACAAGCATGCGGGGACAATTGCCCTATGGAACCACCTCTGGAACCACAGCAACAGTGACATAGACAACTGAAGATTCTGGAATTTCCTAGGCCTGCTTATCTCCTAAATTTGTCCCCTTCCTAAAATGTTCTCTATTCTCTTCAAGAGCAATTTGATACCCTGCTTATTTCTTTAAGCTCTTCTCCCATTATATCATCCTGTCAGGGAACCATTCCATGTGATTTAGGTGAGCGATCATTCAGCTCCAATGATGAATACTTGAAAGAGTACTTGTTATACATGGCTTGCAGCAACTCAAGAAGACCCAAGTATTTTTGTAAAAATTATTTGTTAAACAATTATGAATAACTTTAAAATTAGTAAGAGTAATGATTGGTTCCTGGACAGTTTGTGGACAGAAAAGGCCAAATCTGGTGAAAACATTGTTTGTGATGAGTGGTTCGACAAGCTCTATTTACAACTACTTCTCAAGAAACATACTGCAACTGTTTCTGCAAATTTATCTGCCTTAATTAGCTATACATCTCTCCAATGTGATCAGCTACTGCCCTTAAAATGGTCCATCCAGATGTCCACAAATCAATGGAGCAATACCACAAAAAATGTTCCTAATATTAATTTGGATAATTAGGTTAATTCAGTCCAGGTACCTTAGCACCAAATTTATGTTTGCTTTCAGTGAATAACCTACTAAATTATCTTACTGGCAGAAATATTCACCGAAAAGCAAATTTTAAATGAATATTGCAGAATGTTTGCAGGAAGTGAAATGTGAATATATTTTCAGAAGCACTGATACTGGAAATCCAGTTCTAACAGTTATGATAATCTCTTCACAGAACTGAAATGTACCATGTGATCTACGTATCCAGTCAAAACTGCTTGAATTTTGAATACTCACAATGAACTGGTCACAGACTAAAATCAATAATTATTTGCAGATATTTGGCAATGAATTTTGAATAATGAATACATTTTATATTATGGACAATCTGTGAAGAGAAAAGGGGGCAAAGTTCATAAAATAAAATATGCTTTACAAATTATTTACCAATCTCTAACTACAGCTAATATGGCCATATAACTTTTGACCATCTCCTCAGCCCTCCCAGTTTTCTCAAAATTTCTTCCTTGCTCCTCATTTTCCCTTACAACCAATGCTGGAGTTCAGTTTGGCAGATCTGAAAGAGGATAATTGAAGCTTGGATTTCTGTGTGAATTATTCAACGACCCCTACTCACCTCCCATTTGAGAGAGAAATAGCACAAGTTGAAAAATCATGAAAAGTCAGTAAATTCATGGCTTCATTGACACTGTTTCCAAGTAATGGTTATTTCCTTTTCCAAGTAATGAGAAAAGTCTTGTATCTCAGATACCACTTTATGGTAACTGTTGGCAAATGTTGATTTTTTAAAAATAGTTACCATGTATGTGTCTATCTAGAGAAGAAAGACTTTTGAAGAAAATACATTTATGATCATTTGTTTAAATAAAAAACATGAATGTGCTTTTAGTCACTTTGCACAAATGTTCTTAAGAGCCATTTTTATGCTTGCAAGAATGTTCACAGTAAATGTTGCAATACTTGTGCAAATTTGTATAAAATAGAAAATGTTTTACCGATATAAAATTTAAAAACTCTCCAAAACAGTGTTAAAATAAATAGTTTTCTATTACATGTCATATACAGAATATAGGCTGATGTGGTGCAATATAACAATATTAGTATCACACATTTAGGTGAATTCCAGAGCTGAATATCCATCCCAAACTCATTACAGTGTGTTGCTGATGACAAAACCTTCATACTACACCACACCATCATGTCTTCTCTATGCAAACAAATATGTCTGAGAAAGTATATTGGCATTTATTTTTATACAGGTAAATATAAATAAAAATAATATATGGTAAGATAATACATTACTTTGATTTTAACACATTTAAGGTTAAGATAAGCCTTTTGGTAAAGTTCTCCCTTTCAGCAATCCATATGGAAAGGAAAAAAACAAAGTGAAAAATATGCACTTATTCTTATAAAGTGAGAACCTTTTGAAAGGCAATGGAACTGCTTCAAAAAGTGAAACTGCTTCAAAAAAGTGAAACTAAGTTTAAGGCCTATTTACTACATGTTGACTAATTTCATTAATATTTTATTCATTTGGGTAATGGTACATTTTCTATATTCCTAAAATCCCCAAAGAAAATGCCTTAATAACATTTCCACTGGCAGAAATTTAAGATGGAAGATTTATTGCATATTCTTTTTAATGAAGAAATCTCTGATGTCAGCACATTTTTTGCACTGAGGTACGTTTGCCTGCTATTCACAAATTCAATTACCTTTTCTTGGTATTGAACAATCTTTTACATTATTTTATTCTGTAGCTTCAAGTTTTCTTCCTGCTGATTTTTGCTTTGCTTGCTTATTTAAGTCTGCCATCTTTTGAAGATGTGTCAGCAGGTCTCATCATGGGGGGAAAGGGGAGGGAGTCAAGGAGTGAATAACAGCTTCAGTTCACACTTTGAAGCAAGTTAAGATAGGGCTTTTTGTTGTTTTCCTGCCATGATAAAACTCTTCTACTGATAGATATTAAACAAAAGTGACTTGTCCCTCAGTTTATTTTCAACCAGTAGCTGTGTTTAGATGTCTGTCTTTTTCTTCAATCAAATTAAGAAATCAAATAGTAAACAGACTCAGGTACACTGTACTTTTAGTAAATGTGCTGTCATATATGTAAACTAATGTTCATTCTAATTACATGACTGGTCTTTAGCAGTATTAAGCACTCATAACTAGAATGGGAACGGTGCGTGTTTTACATTCCAATTACATGCACACACCTTACCCTTACCATAACTACCATACACCACAAACCATGCATCACAACCTTAACTGTACCACTTAAAGGAGGCAAGCATTCCAGCACCCTTTTACAAAGCCACTCCTGAAAACATATCAGACTATCCCTTAACCTTCTCTTCTTCATGTACTACCCTTTCCCAACACTAACAGCTGTGGATGTTTAGTGCTGCAGTTTGGTATGTTTGCAGGGGATAATATGACTTTAGCAGCTACCCTTACCCTCAGGGCTGGCTCCAGGCACCAGCAAAGGAAGCAGGTGCCTGGGGCAGCCAATAGAAAGGGGCAGCACTCTGTCTGTGATTGAAGTAGCACGTCCGCATCTTCGGCTGCGGGTCCTTCACTCCTTCTCTCCCTCTTTGGTGGCAATTTGGCGGCAGGCCCTGCTTCTTTTTTTTTTGTCTTTGCTGCTTGGGGAGGCAAAAAAGCTGGAGCCAGCCCTGCCTACCCTGTTATACCTGGAGCTAATGCTAGGCCTGGAGGGAGAAGAAAAGGGAGAACTTGGCTCAGTTCAGGGCTGATTGATGAAGAAGCAGGAAGTAGCATCACTATAAGCCTGACAGCTGCTGGGGGAGAAGCAGTGTGTCCGTCAATGAAAGACGGACTGTTGAGGAGACTGGAGAGCACCCAGCAGTGACTGACTGCTACTGTTTGCCTATAAGGACATTGTGGGACCCCTCCGCCCCCAGAGAGACCTGAGACTACAACAGGATCATAGAATCATAGAATCATAGAATATCAGGGTTGGAAGGGACCTCAGGAGGTCATCTAGTCCAACCCCCTGCTCAAAGCAGGGCCAATCCCCAATTAAATCATCCCAGCCAGGGCTTTGTCAAGCCTGACCTTAAAAACTTCTAAGGAAGGAGATTCCACCACCTCCCTAGGTAATGCATTCCAGTGTTTCACCACCCTCCTAGTGAAAAAGTTTTTCCTAATATCCAACCTAAACCTCCCCCACTGCAACTTGAGACCATTACTCCTTGTCCTGTCCTCTTCTACCACTGAGAATAGTCTAGAACCATCCTCTCTGGAATCACCTCTCAGGTAGTTGAAAGCAGCTATTAAATCCCCCCTCATTCTTCTCTTCTGCAGACTAAACAATCCCAGTTCCCTCAGCCTCTCCTCATAAGTCATGTGTTCCAGACCTCTAATCATTTTTGTTGCCCTTCGCTGGACTCTCTCCAATTTATCCACATCCTTCTTGTAGTGTGGGGCCCAAAACTGGACACAGTACTCCAGATGAGGCCTCACCAATGTCGAATAG